CCCCCCGCCGCTGATGCGAAAGAAAGAAAGAAAGAAAGAAAGAAGGAGTGTGGCAAATAGGACAACCTGAGATCCTCCATCCTACCCTCACCGGCTGACGTGCATCTCTTGCTCGACACCCTTAAATAAATCAGAGCCAATCACCGCATTGAGTCCTGATTACTTTTCTCAGCAGTGCAAAGGAGAGCTCTCTGAGGGTCTAGGACTAATGATCTCAGCAGAGAAAAATTCAGAAGTTGCTGCAGGCTGAGATCAGTGGGGATGAGGCATCGTCTCCCTGGGGAAAGAGTGGAAGAATCTCTCCTTCCCTCTCCCCCAACCCTCCCCTTCCTGAGTCAGACTGGACAGAGCTCAGAGCAGCTCAGTGGTATGGAATGACCTCATGTGGAGAAGGGGAGGAAGAGAGATAAGATGGCTCCAGGGCTGTCTTCCAGCTCTGTCATTCATGGTTCTAGACAGTTTCCTCCCAGAATCCTCAACCCAAGGGGCAGAAGCTATCCTTACCTCCTCTTTACTGGAGGTTTCTGATCCTTCTGCCATTCCAAGCGGGTTATACCAAAGTCGGAGAATAACGGGGAGCTACAGGGTGAGACGAAACTGCACTCTGCTGTTGACCTTTCACCTCAAGCTGTGAGACTTTGGTTAGTTCAGTCCACATTTCTGAGCCTTAGTTGGGTCACCTTAGAAATGAGTCCTTGAAAAAATTAAACAAGTTCAGAGGACATAGTGTTTAGCAAACGTGTGTCCCTTCTTTCTTTCCATCGGAGGCAGAAAAGCCTACAAGTGAGAGATAAGGAAGGAAAATTTGGGCATCAGCTCAATCATAAGACACTTACTTGAATATATGTATAGTTTTGGCCAAATGTCTGGTGATTTGTCAAGATCTGTATCACAGGAGTGGGGATGAGCTGGGTGCTGTGCATACAGCAGATTCACCAAGACACCGAGAACCTTCCTTCTCTTTTCCCCCCGTCTCTGCGTTCTAGTCTGGCCAGTGTCTCCTGAGGTCTGCAGGAAACTATGAAGACTTTCAGGAACTCACATTCTCACCTCTTTTCCACAGGTCATCCAGATGTCGAACAGCCCTGTAAGTCCAGCGTCCGCACCTGGAGCCCAAATTCAGCTGTCAACCCACACACAGTGCCCCCAGCCTGCCCTGAGCCTCAAGGCTGCTACCTTGAACTGGAATTCCGCTACCCCTTGGTCCCTGAGTCTTTGACCATCTGGGTGACCTTTGTCTCCACTGACTGGGACTCTAGTGGAGCTGTCAATGACATCAAATTGTTGACTGTCAGTGGGAAGAACATCTCCCTGGGCCCTCAGAACGTCTTCTGCGACGTCCCACTGACCATCAGACTGCGGGATGTGGGTGAGGAAGTGTATGGCCTCCAGATCTACACGTTGGATGAGCACCTGGAGATCGATGCTGCCATGTTGACCTCCGTTGCAGACAGCCCGCTCTGCCTGGCGTGTAAGCCCCTGCAGTACAAGGTGGTTCGGGATCCTCCTCTCCAGGCAGATGTGGCCTCCATCCTACACTTCAGTAGAAGATTCACAGACATGTAAGTGTGCTTGCTGGGTAAGGGGACGATCAAGTGGGTGGGCTGTGGAGGGATGTCAGGAGGGTCAGAGAGGCCTGCACTGGAAGAAGGTTTATCACAGCCAGACTCACTTCAGGGGATTCGCAACCTGGCAGTGGGTGTAGAATTGTCTCAACAAGGTGGAGGAGATGTGGTGGGAAGAGCAATGGGCAAAGAACCAGGGGTCCTGACTTTTGGTGGCAGCTCCAGCATGTTAACTCTAAGCCTCTCTGACCTCCCTGCAACTTAGCTGTAAAATGAAGGCAGTTGGATGAGATTAGCAATGAGAAAGTCACTTATTACTGGTGAAAGTACAAGAACTGCAGTTCGCTAATGATTTTCTTTTTATATTAAAGAGTATTCCTGCACAGTGATTGCTTTCTCAGTGGGTGAGGAGGGGGTGAAGTTACAGCAGGTTGGCTGGGAATTGAGCATGTCCTTGGATGCTTGCATGAGAATGTGGCTGGAAGATGAGCATAACCAGTAACAGCCTGTGCTCTGTTATCCGAGGTGGAAGAGAGGTGCCTACTCACTTGATCCTTAGGAGCCCTTGCAGCTCTAGGTCTCCATCATTCTTTTGGGATACTCATTGCTTTTATGTGAGATAACATTTGTCCTTAATATTCCTTTCTCAAGCCGCTTCTCTGTCACCTCTTCCTCAAACATCCTAACGATTTATGTTTTATGAGCAAGGCCACCTTCTAATGAAGTCATTAGTGCTTTTGCTGTGTGCCAGACAATGATCTGAGGTCTCTGCGTCTTTGACATCTTTCATCCTCTCCACAACCACAGCCCTAGTCTCCTTCTCATTTTACAAAGAAGGAAACCGTAGATTAGAGATGTGAAGTCGCTGTCCAAGATCACATAGTTAGGAAGTGGTGAGATCAGGATTGGAATTCATTCTGACTCCCAAGCCAGTGCACTTAACCAATGGGTGGTTAAAGATGGATTCCGGTCTCTGCTTTCATCTAACAGATGAGGGAGTCTTCTCCACACCTACCTTGGGTACCAAGAGTCTGTGAAATCAGTCACCAAACGTTCGCTGGACATCTACTTTGTACAAGTGATATCAGTAAAGAACTCTTTGAATGTTGGAAAGAACAATAGCTCAGGAGTCAGACGCCTTGTGTCTAGCCCCAGCTGGTCCACGTACTAAATATTAGATACATCAATCAGTCTCTTTGAGCTTCGATTTCCTCTTCTATGTGATGAAAATATTGAAGTCGATGGTTTCTATAGGCCTTTTGTGGCACTTTCTTTGGTTCTAAGCTGATATAAGACACAGCCTCTGCTCCGTCTACTTGAAAATATTTGCTAAGCCAATTATTAATAGAAACCAAGTTCTGGAGGAAACTTTTAATCTTTTTAAGAGACAGAACCACTTTCAAACACTTTACCAGCACTTCCTTTTACAATGCCGGCTATTAACGTGCACATCGCAAGCAAACCCTCGCCCATTCCTTGCCTCAGAGATGGAGAACATCTGTTTAAGAGCTCAGAGCGAGCACTTGGTTTGTGTTTGAGAATGTACTTAAAGGATCGCCTTGCACTGAAAATATTCCATAACCCTGTCCCTTCCATCTCCTCGCTTGTCTAGAGTGGCAAAGTTCTATAAATATGCGTCCACTTAAAATTTCTGTATAAAACAATGAAGAGAAGAAATAATAGACATTTCAAAACCTCAGTTTAAACACAGCTTTCATTTTCTTGCCTTGAGTTAGGAGCCTGTGAGCGCTGACATGGGCTGGTAAGTGTGGAATGGTGGAAATTAGACTGAAGAATAAGAAACACTTTGGGTTCTAGTCTCAGCCAAGTCACTAGCCTGCTGCACGATCTTAGGCAAGTCATTTACCTTTTCCGGGCCTCAGAGCTGTTAAATCTACAAGGAGGAGGTTGTCCTAGGCCCGTGGGTCTCAAACTCAGTTGCACCTTACGAAAACTTGGGAGCATTTTGAAACCACCTCCGGCTCACTTGCAACCTCTCCCCCTTCCAGTTACTGATTTAAGTGGTAAAGGAAAATAAGGCCTGACCACTAGGACTTCAGAATCTCACTAGATAATTCTAATATGCGGCCACGTTTAAGAACCACTGCACTAAATCCGGCTCTGAAAGCCTGGCTCCCAACCAGCAGTGTCCACTGGACCTGGGAACTTAGAAAGACCAGGTTCTTAGGCCCCAGCCAAGAAGGCTGAGAAGCTCGGAGCACAGGGCCTCTCCAGATGACTCTGATGCTGGTAGAGTTTATAGTCACTGCTCTAAATGATCTCGAAGGCCCAGGAATCCTCAAGGTCTCCACTCATACAGCTACTGCTTCAATTTACAAATATGTACTGAGGACGATCTATGTGCCAGAGTCTGTGCTGGGAGCTGGAGATTCAGGGACAGCTCAGACCTCTTCCCTTTCCTGTTGACACTCACACTTGAGCAGACCTTCACCACTTGGTAAAAATGCCACATCCTATGCCAGTTTGCCTCCCAAACCACTGCTATTCAGGGCCGCCCTATGTACCATTTGTTCTCTCATCCCAACAAATGTTTCTTTGGTCCCTATTGTGATGCAGGCACAAGGGCGAGACTGAGGACTTCACTGACCTTCCTCTTTGTCTTTCTTGAGTCCCAAGGAATTTATTGGAGACCTGGGCTGGGCCGGGCTCCGCTTTCTGACTTGAAAGTTCTCTGAGAGGAAAAAAAACCCAAAAAAACAACATCATTCCAAGTCAACCTACCACTTCAACTCCTTTATCTCTTGGTAATTCGAGTTCTAAACTCCAACACAAATACCTCTTTGTGTGTGTGTGTGTGTGTGTTTTACGGCTTTCACTATTTTTTCCATATCAAATAAATTGGCTCTTAGACAAGTTCTATATAAAGCCTGTTTTGGAGAAAAAGAGGCGAGAGGGGAAAAAAATGCTTTCTTTTTCTTCCCTGACTCAACCCATTACATGATTCCCTTTGACCTTTGTCTTCATTTTTTTCTCTCAACGAAAATATTTATTCTTTCTGTTATCTATACTGGAGATAGTTTCCCAAGGTATGACATTGATGAAGGGAGAGGCTCCCGTGCTTACCCAGTGGGCGCTTCTCACAGACCGATTGCTCTTGGCCGGTGCAAGGGAGAAATGTGGACCATCTCCCATAAGTGGAAGCCTCTCTGTGGAATGAAGACTGACACTGGCAGAGGGAAGGGGGACCAGGGCAGACTCGGCTGCTAACTCACGTGGGACATGGAGACCCACTGCATCACGGGACTTTGTTTTTCCTGTCTGTAGCATGAGGGGACGGCATATTAAGCTTTTCTCTGTGGACGGTAGTTGCTCTTGGGGGACAGGTGACTCCTTCCCTTTTTTGGTAGTAAAAGGGGCTCAGCAGAGATTGTTTACCTCCAAATCAGTACCTACCACGGACCTCACTGGTTTTGGTTGCCCTAGTGAAAGGTGGAGTGGGTGTACAATAATAATAACAGCAACAATAACAACCATTTACTGAATATTGACTCTGCTTTAAGCACCTTTCAGTTGTATATGAGGCAGGTGAAGCTCAGAGAAAAGGCTGAAGCTCAGAGGAGTGACTTATCCAACCTAATACAGCTGGTAATGGCAGAGCCAGGTTTAAAACCCAGGTCGAATTCCAAATTCCACCTTCTCAGCCACAACACCACACCACCTCCTGCTGTCATCATGCTAAGGCAGAATTGTAGAGCTCAGACATGCATCTGCACTGACTGAAGTTCAAGACACAGAAGGTAGAAGACGGGATTAGCACGCACAGGCCACCGGCCCCAGTCAGTTCCTGAGACCCAGTCTGGACTCCAGCAACACAAGACACACAGCCAGGTCTTTTTGTGTCTGGCTGGGAAGAAAGAGCACAGATACTTCTGGTTCTCAACCTGACTGCCAAGTGCTCCTGCACTGGGTACCACGTTCCTTGGGTCCTTTGGAATCTCCAGATTTCCCTAAGTAGTAAAGACTCTGGAGAAAACTAAGCCTTTTTTTTTTTTTGGCTTAGAGGAAGTGAGGTATAAAGCAAAGCAGAAACAGTGAATAGCAGCTCGCTTTAATTATTTATCTGCTTATCCATCCATCGTTGGTTCATTCAGCAGATATCTGCTGGGTGTCTGTTACATCCTATGCACCGTGTTAGGAAATGGTGATACAGGGGTGCCCGTCCACCCACATGGTGTGCACACTCTTTAGGAGGAGAGAGAGTTAGGCAGGCATTAGCACTGTGGTACAGTAATGCCCTGATGGAGGACTAGATTTTTTTGTTTCTTTATCTGCTGATGTAGTCCAAGTGCCTAGAACAATTCTAGGCACAAACTAAGTGCTCAGTAAATATTTTTAATGGCTCTTGAATAAACAATGGGAAGAGAGATGGAGAAGCTATCACTTACTAAGTACCTACTATGTGTCAAGCACCTTCTAGGGGCTTTACTTAAGTAATCTCGTTTGACTTCAGCTCCACAAGATAGGCGGTCCTGTCCCCAAATTACAGGTAAGAACCCGAAACTCAGAGTTTACACAGCTGTTAGGCTATGTAACCACAGCTGAGGTTTGCACGGAGATCTGTCAACTCCACAGCTAGTTCTCTAATTCATTCTCTAGTTGGACAAATTACATTGGTGTTTCCTACTTCATTTGTGCCTCTCCATTCCTAGGATCACTAATTTGGAACTAGAAATATTTTTAGAAGTCATCTCCCCCAACCAGCTTATTTGTGTACCCCAACTAATTATTGATTCTTCTTTCACATTCAGACCTGTTAAGCTGCCAACACAATCTCTTTTCCTTCACCTCTTTGGTATTCTCAATGAGTCCTAGGGTAAATGAATAAACATAAGGAAAGGATATAGTCTTATGATCTGGGTGGAAATTCTCCTGAATATCAGTCCATATTTTACAAATCAAATCCCAGATCTCTTCCTCTGAATTCCACAGATTCAGAATGACCATCCATCAGTTCAAAAACTTTAGTTCATTCATCA